TTATTATTATTGTTGCAATATATTTGTTGTATCATGTGTTCATAGTATTATATTAATTATTCATATATTATAATGTTAGAACATTATTGCTTAATATTACGTTCAAAATACATATACCTATATTTTATTAAACGTCTAGGTACAGTGATCCAACCATTTTTTGAAAAGTCATAAATGCCTGACCCGCAAAAACAGATGAACCTAAATTTACGACTTTATTTTGTGGAAGACGAAATTAAGAAGAACCAGGTTGGTAAGTCGTAAAATTCAAATAGGTTATAGGTACATACTAAACCTACTATAACATTATATACAATCGGGAAAATTCAAGCAATAAAAGAACAAATTCTGTTTTTCCTTAAATCAACCTATTAGCTATATAGACATAATATGCAGTGTTCCCCAACATATTCCACGAGAGTGATGTAGAAAGGAATTTCGGAAAAAACGTTGGTTCAATCAATGTTTTGTGACGTTATTTTATTATCATTTTTTTTATTCATACTAATTAATTTATTAGTAAATGAGTACTTGTTAAATAAGTAATTTAAATACAAATATTAATTTCAAACTGTACCTAATAGACATAAATAAAAATTACTATATTATTACTTATTCGATAGCTTTAAAAAAAGGTATAGTTTCTAGTTAAATTGAAACTTTTTCAAGTAAAAAACAAAGAAAAGTAACTTTGAAACTTAATTTACATGTTTTATTTTTTACTAGGCATTTCACTTAACTATAGTTAAAAAGAAAATAGTTAATTTGCCCGACCTTGCCAAAATGTACTTCCAACAGTTCCAATTTTGTACTTTGAGCTTAAATATTATAATGAATTGACTTATATTACCAAACTTAAATGTATGGACATTATCTGTGTTCTCTCTTTGGTTTTTTTGCGATAATTTAATTTTCAAGTGAATTATGAGAATGTAAAATAATAATATTTAAAAATGCCCATACAATTCTGTTATAAAAATAAACATATCGTAAAAAACCAACGAGCACAGTCAGTGTACTACTGCAGACGCTTGTAGTCCCTAATTTCCTATCAACTGCCACTTCAGGACACAGACGACGTGACTAGGTGGACTCTCCCACCTCACCTGATCACGAGATGTGGGACCGATCAGATGACTGTAGCCTGACCGTGTAGGTTGTACGAAACTACGAACCAGTTACCAGTGGCAAACGCAGCAACTCGCCTTGGTGACGTTATACGGGTAACCAGGTCTGTGACGACGACCACCGACCATTACAAGTGACAGAGTGTAATATTCGTGTAAGTATTTCGTTCTAAAAAATCTATTGTCCATTCAATTTTTCATATTTTGCTGTCTTTGTTTCATCCTCACGTCCTATACAGCACCAATTTTTACCGGATACCGACAACCAACGACTGAAGTCATCGCAGTCCGCGTTAAGTATGATATCCTAATAATTAATAATAATAATTATTATTAAACACATGTATAATGTATGTATATTATTTAATACATGGGATTGGCTCTATTCTCAGACCTAACTCCATTGAGTTCCCACCTTGAGTGGGTTATGGGGGAAAGGAAACTGGAAACTCTCGGTTTATAAAATGTAGGTATACCTAAGTCAAATAATAATAATAATTTTTAAATTTTACGGTACATAAGAATGTTAGTATGATGTGTGTACTGTGTATGACACTATATTTTATATGATATGTAATATGTAAATAATAAATATTAATTATTAATATTAATACCGATTAAGTAGGTATTATATTTATGTTTTATTATATTATAAACAACTTAACACTCATACCTAAGTATTATTACCTAAACTATTTTAAATTGGATACATCCACATGACCACATTACACATTCTATAGCGAGACGCTTTTGGAATTGCAGTTATATATATATATGCATATTGTATATATGTATATATTATGTATATTGACTTCTTTATAATATTATTATTTAATATTTATTATACCTACAGACATAGGCATAGGTTTTTTTAAGCTACTGTGGTATAACATACATAAAAATACACAAGAATATATTGTGTTGTCGATGGTGCTTCTAATAGAAAGAAAAAATGTTGGCCACAAAACTTTAAATATTATTTGAATAATATAGTATTATTACTTATAGTTTATTTTTTTTAAAATTTATACTTCATTAATTAGGTATATTTTCATTAGGTATCGAAGAATGAAGATTAAGACTGTTTTTCACGAGACAGTAATATTTGTAACCTGACCTATAAACTTTCTGCAATACTCAAATTTATATCTTGACATGAGTCCTGAGAAAAAGATGAATAGAAATATTTGTGTATTTAATATTTATTTAGGTCACATCCGCAACTGGTACTCAACTTCTCATTACTTTGTCACAACTTTGAAACACTGACAATTTTGAATTTACTAAAACATAAGAAAATAAATTCTGTGATTCTGTAGTTTTGAGTTGTGAATGTGAATTAGTATATTACTTATTACTTATTATTATAAATTCTGTGATTCTCCGTTGATAGATTAATAGATTGTCTGATGTACTCGTATTTTGTCCCCCACTCCACGATGCCGTTTTGATGCCCATCGGCCATTGTTTTCTAATTTGTTGACGTTTTGTTGGTGGCTGTGTGAGTTCCAGGAAATAGATAAAAATATAAGATCAATTTATAATTGTGTATCAGACCAAGCAAAAATTACACCTAAGTAGGTAGTAAAAAGTAGTTGAAAGTACAATATTAAAAAAAAAAATTAAATTCAAATTTAACACATCATTATTGACACCTTAATATATACAACAGAGCGTTACCCACTTAACCATTTTTTTATTATTATTATTTAAATGGCGAAACTTATGAATAATTATAACAACACATTTTTTTCAGACCGAATTGTCCTCGATCGAATAAATGTATTTCCAAGAATATCTATGCGGCTTCTAGATTAAGAGATATAATTGTTTTTAAAAAATATTTTTGAATTGTATTACATACATCAATAATATAATATCAATATTTTTTATGTAATTAAGGAACTAATAACTATTATGTATTGACATATTTTATTCTTGTTAGTCGTGATAACATGCAGGTATTGATATTATAATTGATATTATTGTTACTTATTTATAGTAATTAGTAGGCAGGGATAAGGTATAATAAGCAGTATACGTATACCTACAATTCGAAAGCATTTAAAAAAAAAAATTATATTATCTTTTTGTCTAGAAGTCGTACATTCTTGGAAACACATGTATTTGACCGATGCCAATTTAGTCCTAAAAAAACGTTCTATGCTTTATAGTAATTATTTTATAGGTGTCATTATTTAGATTGTAATAATAAAAAATCAACAAATTCCCTATATGCTTTAAAATATTGGAGTATTTCCATGGTCAATAGCAGTATAAAAAATAGATGAAATTTTTAAATTTTTAAATTGTATAATTAATAGGTAATCTTTTACGAGAAAACGTATGAATCGTAGATATCCGATACTCATATATGACACAGTGATAAAATGTTTACCTACTGCTTGTAGCGGGGCGATAAAGACCAGTATATCTAGGTTATTTCAGATTAAATTTTAAAAAAATTTTAAAAAAGAGATGAAAAATTGAGAAGTACCAGCTATTTACTGAGTAGTGAGTTCTGAAGTGGTGTGCCGTGAATTTCCACTTCGACCCACAGTGTCTAAATATTAACCCCCCCCCCCCCATCTATTGCCGAGCTTGATGGTTTATATAAATTTGTCAAATGTGAGTTTAGCCTAAGTAATGACAAAATATAATGTTTGAGTACAACATATTTTTCTATATTGCATACTTTTGCAAACTTTGTAATTTTTAAGCTAAAATCAAATTTTGCCAATTCAATTGTTATTTTGAACATATTTTTGGTTTTCATGTTTTATTTAAAGTACCTATGAATGCATTTTGAAAATAACATTTTTTTTTGTCTAGGAACCTTGTGAAATTAACGTATGTGCAGATAGGCGATATTAGGTTACTAAAATCATTAACTTAAAGACATTGGTGGTTAAAAATTGAAATTAAATAGATTAAGATTATATATTATATGTTTTAAAAAAAATGCTAGTTTTATATTTCAAATTTCAATAGTACCTATATAAATATTATGTACATGCAGTCATATATTAAGTCTCAAAACCTAGTTATGGCTTATGGTAACAGTATAATCATAGCTAATTAATAAATTGAAGAGCAACGATAAATAATTACATAAAAAATTATTTTGACAGAGCCGCAGAGCTCGGTAAAGAGATTATAACACTATTACCAGCGAGGGAACATCCAAAATCGGTTCTCCTGCGCATCCCTGCCATGGACATTAGACACCCTAACTGGTTTCGATATAGTGTGGTGACGCAGAGGAGGTGCGCAGAATCGGCGAGTTCTCTCTCTGGACAGAGTATTAGACTGCTTATATTTCTTAAATCTTAATTCCTTATCATGTTTTGGATGCCTATTCTATGCTGTTAAACGGCTAAAAAAGTATTTCGTAAGCTTAGAAAAACTAGGTAGGTACCTATCGAAAAATTGAAAAATTACCTTTCAATATTCCGTCCATCCACGAAAAGTGAGTAAATATATAAAAAAAAAAAAATAGGACCGTAAAATATTCTTAACATTTGATTTATGATTTATCCGAAATCGAAAACGAGTTGAGCACGAAATTGTTCAAATAGTTATTAAGTATGTATACATGTACAATAAAATAAAATAATTGTTTGATTATTATTTTTTAACAAATACAACCTTGTACGGGGGGATCGGCTGTGGCCTGAGTTAATGTGTTAATATAGGTTATAGGTGTTAATATTGTCGTAGTCTTTATTTCAATAGACTGTCTGAGCCTCTGAGGGCAGAGTCGTGTCCGTCCGTTGTTTACCGCTCACTACTCGCCAGCGTTATCATCTCTTATCTCCTCGTTCGTGACTTCTCGCTGTGATAAGAACAATTCTCTGCAAATTGCGATCAATATTTTATTAATATTACACACCTATTATTTTGTAATATACTATTTAGTTTTAGTAATTACGTTGCTCAGTACTCAGTTGCTGATCTCAGCTGAAGTTGCTGCTTGCTAGACGGTCTATCTTTTCTGATTCTTTTCTCGTGGTAAGTGATCACTTATTCTTTGGCCCTGTCTGAATAATCAAATAATCGAGTAAGCACAGGTCACTAGTTGTCACAATTAGATGTACCTTTGTTTCAATGAAATTCGCGTCAAATGATTCTTAAAGTTACATTTTTAAATCTCATAATTTGTTTTAAAAATTTTTCAGAAGGCAGCAATGTCGGTGGAAAAAGATGATGGAGCTGTGGAAAAACTTATGGAGGAGGGAAAAAAGAAGGTGGACAGTACAAGTGACAAATATGATGAGCTAAACAAGATGGAATTATCGGATCATACAGAAACAGCATACGCAGGCATGGGTAAGGAAGAACTCATGAAGTATGCTAACAGTCCGTTCTGGGTGCGACTCAGGTGGTTGCTGTTTGTAACGTTTTGGCTTTCTTGGTTTGCCATGATGTTTGGTGCACTGTTCATAATATTCTTGACTCCTAAGTGTTTTCCGACTTCTAAGTATGAATGGTATCAGAAGAGTCCAGTCTACATTATTAACGCAGCTTCTCTTGTCAGCCAAAATGGTGAGTTGTCTATTGTCAATGATTATATGTACCTAACATAAAATAAATACAGTACATTATTTTCATAATTTGAATTAATATAATGAGTCTATATATTAAGTGTTTCATACAATACATTTTTTGATAAATAAAGATTACAGTACAAATATTTGTAGAAGTTGTACTCTAATTAAATTAACAGATATTTATATAAACCTATCTATCTATGTATTGAGCTATTAATTTTAACCATAAGGTTCTATTTACTTCCATAGGTAAGCATATGTACATAGGAAATACATTTTTTAGGACATTAATACTTGCTGTTAAGTTAACAGATTTAGGTAACTTCGTATTTTTATTTTTTATTTGTTCATGAAATAATGTACCTATATTTCCTTTAAAATTTATGAAGTATTTATGTTAAAAACTTAAATTATTTTTTTGTTTTGAAACTATCAACTAATTATGATGCGGCCCATTAGGAATTCCACAATCTCCCGAAGGTTCAATCCGGCTGAATATTATTTTGACTTTAATGGTGTTGTCCATATCAGAGAGACGATTATTTTATTGATCCCCCCCCCTTAACACCAGCCTTAAATTTATTATCAAGTTCATAAGACTAAGTGTTCTATTATTAAAAATTTTAACTTTGCTTAATGTATGCTTAAACAATGTATGTTTTCATATATTGCACATTGTACTATAATTTATGTTAAATATATTATACTTAATAATTAGTAATATTAGTAATTATAATATAATTTTTGTAAAGGTCTTGATGAGAAAATTAAATATATGCAACAATTGGGTGTACAAAATGTTGTATTGACATCTGTGTTTCAAGCTGATGGAGATGAAGTCATAGATTTTATGAATGTAAATATTTCTTTAGGAAATGAGAATTCAATGAAAAGTCTTGTTGAAAATTTAAAAAATAAAGGTATATTATTAATTATATCTCATCTACTAAATTATAGATATAAAAAATGAATTACTCTAACATTATTTTAGGTATGAAAGTGATGTTAAAATTAGTTCCTAATCATTCTTCAAGGTTAAACTTAATATTTGAGCGATCAGTCCTAAAAGAAACTTTATACAAAGATTTTTACATTTGGAATTCTGGTATTAGTGATGGTGAAAAACATTATCCCATTAACAATTGGGTTAGTAATTTTTAGTATTTTAGTTTGTTATTGAATATTCTATTAATTGTTCTTGTTAACCGCATTAGTTGAGTGTAACTGGAGGATCTGCCTGGAGTTGGAATGATATTCGAAAAGAGTTTTATCTTCACCAGTTCTCTTTAGAAAATCCAGACTTCAATTTTCGCAATAAAGATGTTGTATATTATTTTGAGGTATTTAATTTACTTTTGTATTTTTAAAAACATTTCTTAATTTTGTATGGTTAATTTTTCTAGAAAGTGTTTGAGCATTGGTTGAATATAGGAGTTGATGGATTGTATTTGGATAAAGTTCAATATTTGTTTGAAGATAAAGACTTAAAAAATGATACTATTACAATGGCGCCAAATGTGACCAACAAGTATGATTCTTTAAGTCATAAAGCGACATCTAACCTTCCAGAAACCAATGAGTTATTATAACACTGGGGCAATTTAATAAGAAATAATTCTGGGTGAGTTAAGTTATATTGCCCAATATTATTAAAATGTGCCTATTTACTTAAAAAATAAAATGATTCAAATGTTTGCATAAAACATATGCACTATTCAAATTTTAACTTATTATAAGTTCTATTAAATTATTTGTTTATATATATAATATATATTTTTAAAATTATTTATATTGTATGGTTGTTAAATAGTATCATAGCTTTTTAATTATATTGTTAAAAAGCCAATAAAAAGTAAAATGTAGTTACAATTCAGATGATTAAGTTAGAAATTATTGTATTTTAATGCCTTAATTTGGATACATTTAAAATAAATGTTTTATTTTTATCTTGTAAAATAAAAAACTTATATGTTTTAAAATTATAATTATGAACGAATTGTGAGTCCAAATCTTAATATTTGGGTATTTAGTATCAAAGAAAACTACATTAATAAATTAATTGTTAATTAAATGTTTTTTTATATACAATTTTCAGAGTATTGATTGTGAGTGACCTTGATTCTAATGATATTAAGGGAATACATATGGTTCATAGTTCTGTGAAGTTGCCATCTGATTTCACTGGAGAACAATTATTTAATGCAATTATTCCTAAAGCAACTAATTCATGGTCTTCTTGGGAAGTAAGTTAAAAATAATTTATATTCAAAATTAAATATTAATGCATTTTATTATTGATTTAGTGGGTATGTACTGATAAATCAAATTGCTGGAAAAATGAAACTATTGATGCCTTTAGTATTCTTGGTTCATTATTACCGGGTGTACCACTCATTAATGCTGACGCTAAACTATTTGAAAACAACAAAATACCAAATATTACATTTATTCAAAGTAATTTAAAAGAATTACGGTCAATGCCCACAGTTGAATTTGGTTCCTTTAACGCCAAACTCTTGAATAATGAGACAGTATTCGCTTTTGATAGGTAAACAAATTACATACATCACAATACTTTATTTATTTTTAAATTACATGTTTGATTTTAGGGTAATGAGTGGTTCAGAGAGCCTTTTGTTTGCTTGGAATTTAAGTAAAAATGTCACTGTTCTAAACCTAAATGCATTTGATGGAATTCCCACAGAATTAACTCTGTCACTTTGTACTGAGACTGCTTGCTCCATGCTTCCTCCTCCTAAGTAAGTTTTTATCATTGTTTTATATTTATAGATATAATAATTGAGATATTCATATAATAAAGTTAGTTGAAATAGATATTTATCTTAATGACTTATTTCCAATAAAACTAAAATTAATAAGATGAACAGATTGTTTCTCGAAATTGCCCGAATTGACAATTATTAGTTATTATTTTATAAATTTTATTCGACTGTTAGATTATCTCAATATTTGTATACTTATATTTCAAATACAATTGTTTTAAATTTCATAACATGTTTATACATTTGAAAAAATTGGATTTGCCTGATTTTAACTGCTATATTACTTGTTAAAATGCTTTGTTGTCACAGATAAATTATTTGTATTCTTGTATAGTATTTTAATTAATAATACTTATATTTTATTTTTAAATTATAATTAAGTTAATTTATTTTACATATTTGATCATATATGTAAGTTGATTTCCTGTAAATCAAAAATAATTTTGAAAATATGTTTTAATAATATTTAGGCATACAAGTAGGATATGATTACACTTCAGAAGATTATGAATATATTAATTATCAATCTTAATTATTATAAAAAAATGTACTTGTGGTTTTTATGATAAATCTAGGTTCATTCTGAAAGGTCTGTTTTAATAAATATAAGATATCTGTTTTTGTAGAACTGATGTTCTATACTACAAATTACATTGTATAATTATATTATATACTTCTGCAATGAACTTTGTACTTATATACTAATATTATCTAAAAAGATAATTCACACAAGCTATATTGAAATATTTAAAACTATATTTTTGATAAGAGTTGATTCTAATAATTAGAGAAATTAATTCCGTGAAAATGTTGCTGATTTACATCAATAATAGACTGATTAATCATTATATATTTCATAATAATGAAATCTTGTGCTTAGCTTATTAGTTAGAAAATTTAGAAATATCAACATATAATTTTTGTATTGTTTGACCAACACAAAAAAGTGTTTTTATTAATTATTATTAAAATTGTTGAAATAAACTAAAAGATAATAATGTTTTTATTAGGTCTCTGATTTGAATGTCCCTTGGGAAATAAAAAATGCACTTGTTTCTGAACTTCAAAAAAATTCCCTGCAATTAAAATAATTCAATTTTTTAATCTTTTATAGTAAAATTAAATTATTATGTAATAATTATTTTATAAAAGTAAATGAGTTAACCTGTGTTGAATTAATTATATTGTTAGCTGACATATTATGTGCCAATTTAATCAACTGGTGCCTGGGAGCAATTTTCTGTTAAAAGTACACACTTTAAGCATATTTCTGTCTAGGAATACATTGTTTTGGAGAATCTTAAAATAAGTTGTAAATGCATTGAAATCTAATTTTTGATTTCTATTTATTATCTGTTACTAATAAAAACATTAATACCATGATAAATAAAATAACTTTAAATATTTAAATTGGTTTCATTGATACTCAATAGCATTAATAAAATAGCCCATTACATCAGATTATATTATATTGTTCGGATTTTGAAATAAAAAAACTATCTTTTTTCATTTCGTGTTATTTTTTTTTTTGTTCTAGATCAAAAGTTGGCAGCAACCAATTGAGTCTTGCTGGTGAATCTGCTGTGGTTTTGAAATTCTAAATGGTTGAACATGTATAGCATTACTATAACATTTATTGAAACCGCTGAACAAAATCATTTATTTTTTGTTTAAGTATTAATACTAATAATAATAACTTATAATATAATTACCTTTAATCTCACTAGTTATTACTTTTCCCTCCCTACTCATAAAATTATCAATTTTCTTGTGGTAACAACCTATTGAAAAATACCTATGTAACAATATTATCATTATTGATATTAAAATAATTTGAAAATTATACAATGTTTATGTCTTTATATTATTTTAACAACGGTATATTATAATAACTTTAATGAGTTTCTAAGCAGAATATGATCATTGGTTTATATAATCATCTGTTTATTGGAACCCAAGAATAAAAATATGAACCAAATCTTATGTTTATAATGTTAACGGATAATTTAATATTTTTATACTGGATTTTCATACGGACTAAGTTATATGAATATGACCAACTCATTAATATTAGCCATTCCTAATCTAATTAGCTATCTATTACCTAAGATGCAACATGAAACCTGTGATATAACATTTTATAATTGTGATACTTTAAACTTTAAAGCATTAAAAAACCAATAATTTTCCTATCTCATAGTACAAATCAGAGTACAAATTTTAAAACTGCATAAATTATGCCAAACTTATATTCTTTTCAAGTTTTTTGAAGTTAATTTTTATAATTATCATTTATCATATAACAATTCAATTAGAGCAGGCTTTTATTAAGAAAACATGTAACCTGATTTGTGTTGTACTGTCTTATAAAGGTATTTAAACCTTTTTTAATCATCTTTAGGCTTTAGTGGTTTTAAATTTTAAATGTATCAAAACGAATCCATTCAATTTATTAGTTATATAATAATGTGTTATTTTTAAAATAATGTTTGTGAGGACACTTTATTGTAGACAAAATGCTTGGATATTCAATTTTGATGGTGGCTCCTAGTAACCTTATGATAAATTGGACCTAGTTGGTACTTTGGTTGTTCAAAATTAAAATAATACAAAATCAAGAATAACTGTTCCTAATTTCTATGCAAAAATAGTTTTTGACAAAAATCAATTGTTTTTTTGTTGTTATTTGAGAGTTAGTAATACTAAATTTGAATTTCCATTAAATATTTATTATTTATATATTGATTGTCTAAATATTATACAATTTTCAAAATAATTTGGTTCTTTTATAATACTTATATACATAAATTTTTTTATTAGTTTTTTTCAATTTATATTGAAAATATATTGAATAGTTAAAAGCTTAAATATTTAATACAATGTAACTATGTAAGAACTTAAGTCTTGCTTACTAAAGCAATTAATATTGAAAATTTACAAATTATTTTGTAAGTGCTTAAATTATTATTATTTTCTATATACCATAAAATTGTCAAATAAATAATATCAAAAATAGGTATCTAATACCTATTTATAAGCACTTAAAATCAAAATTCAGCAATTCATGTTAATTTTGCAAATTATTTCAAATGGAATATTTTAAATCTTAATAGCTTGAAAATGTAATAAAAGTTTCCTTTGATTTTATAGCAACTTAAAAATTTCGGAATTTCGTTACTGTACCGGACACTTTTTTATTTATATGTATATGTAGTTAACAATACGAAAAACGATGGTGAAGTCAGAATTTGGCAGTCGAACATCGGTTCTAATGAAGTTTGCTATTTTGCGATGTTTACACATTAGCGCATCATTCTAGTTTACTGTGCCTGTTACAAATATTTATGTTTTTTGGAAACTTATGCACTACAACGTGTAAAGAACGATGGGGCAATCGGAATTTGTTAGCCGGACAGTCTAGTGACGTGCAAATTCCCGAGAATGTAGTTACGGGAATATACCCTAATTAGTTTTTAAATATTGATCAATGTTTCAGTGTTAAATAAAACTTATACCTAGTCGTAAATGATCCAAATGGCAAATTTTTTTTTATATCAAATATCATAGCCTACAGGAGAATAAACTTAACTTAACTGAGTTAATCAATGTTTTTATATCCTAGATAGGTACCCTATAACCTAGAACAAATTTTGAACAGAATCGAACATCAATGGTTCCGTTTGGCTTGACATTCAAACAGTTCAATAGATTAACCTTTCATTAGGTACTTGTAGGGAATTAAAATAGTTCATATCTCTGTATGTATTATAAAGTATTATAATGGTAGTTTATTATTGAAAACATGTCCGCCGCCTGTTAATAGAGATAGGCACAGGCCTCTGTATAGGTCTTTTTAAAATGTATCAGTAACGGTTTTACAAATTATTAGGGACCTACCTATTTCCCCCTAGACGTACCACATATGTATGCTAAATATTAATACCCATTACCCACCCTCCCAAAATTTGGAAGGAGAGGTTGCTCTTCTAGAGTTCTAGACCCCCTTCACCACCCAACTCCCCCTCCACCACCGATCACATTGTAGCGCCGTCACTTTTGCTCAAGTATTCTATGTTCTAATATCTGATATCCTAATAAATTTTGCAAACAAATTTCCAAATGTACACAGGTGCATCGCAGTTATAATAACAACAATATTATTACTTATCTACAATTCTAAAATGATTTATTAGCGCATGCAATTATTTCAGGAAATGTTCACAATCTTCGACCGCAGCAGTATTATCATAGTGTTAATGCAGAATTAATTTATGGCAAAATCAACAAAACGTTTTTCCCTCATCACTGCTATAGATTTAGTAAGTTTGTGCGTCAAGTGTCCAAATTTGCATACATATACATATTACATACATTACGACACACACACACGTATATATATTATATTACATTTATACCTATATATGTATTCAGTTATATAATATATGGTATGTACGTACAATATTTACGTCTTGTAAGTTATAATATATCAAGTGGGAAATATGCGCAAAATACAACACACAACTTAAAGGTGGAGATTGTTTGCACAATACTATAGAATCTATAAACTGTGTACCTACCTATATACATAGTGTATTAGTATATAATAAACATACACAATATAAGTAAAATGTACATATAGTACATAGGTACATTTATAATATAGGCACCTAGGTACCAATACGTTTTTCAGAAAATGGTGTGTAAGACGTGTTAAGTAGTAGGTATGTCATAAATCGTGGAGCAGAGGAACCACCATCGGAAGATATAGGTAGTCAATGATTTCAAATTATTTGATAAATTACATTTTTTTGTTTTTTTAAATGAAATTTCTTTAGGCGTGGTAGTGTGAGTTGAATTCATGGGCTCAGCCGTTGCGACCAAAACGCATTACGGGCTTGGCGCAGATACCAAACTAAGGTTTCTGTGGTACCTAATAAATAATAATAAATCATTTGTCTTATCTTTGTATAATAGTAATAAATAAATTGAAAATTTTTTTTTTTTATTTTTTCAATACAAACTTAATATTTGACCGTGATGGGCGATAACACTTTTTTATACCCTCTCTAAAGAAGTTTCACTCCATCCGCGCTTATACTATTGCGACACGTCATTTTTGTTACTAACGGGCGACATTGAGTAATTAATGCGAATTATTTTATGAAATATTGGACAACACGTTTAAAGACTACCTACGATTTTAAATAGTACTGTGTTTATGAGCTATACACGTTTTTTGGACACTCGTGTGATACATAATACGAGTATTTAATCAACATTTTGCCCAGGTTGGTCATTTAGTCAACGAGTTTAAGTTAGGTTACTTTAGGTATTGAAAAAACTAAGTTATAATATAAATTGGTTTTTGAAACTTTCCAAATTTCTAACTTAGTTGGAAGTTAGTTTGATGAAAATAGTAACTTAAGTTAGAAGTTAGTTTTTTTTATAGCTTAATACACACGCATTTTTAAAACCCGTTTGATTACAACAAGTAAAGTATTAATTACATAAGTACATATTTTATTGTTGGGTACCTATCTGATTTCAATTATTAGTGACTAAACAAAAATTAAATTGAGCAACTGATAATTTGATCGAAAGTTTCAAGTAAGTACTACAATTATTAGGTGTTACTGGTATTAGGAAATAAGTAACAACCTTAATTTATTGGAAATAAATTGGAATACGAATATCAGTTATTAGAATACAGAATTTACGAAATAATAATAAAAATACAAACAGTATGATTCTTTATTCGTACTTACCAAGCAATAAGCTATAGACCACAGGCGCTGTGGTAAACGTGTATTGCAATAAAATATGCAACTAATATAAGAATATATTATAAAGAAATAATGTGACAAGAAAAATGTTTTAAAAAAAATTAAAGGTGGTACTCAAAATTCATAATTATTTAATAATAAGTTATAATCACGGCTGTATAGACACTAATATTATAGTCGGCACTCGGAAGTTATACGGAACATTTGGATTTTAGGAATTAAAAAAAAACTACAAAAAAATAGTCAAGTACCTGTATTATATTGCATTATAGATCAGATTATTTTACACATTAAATGTTCAACTCGTCAAGTTACAAAGTAGTTATTATATGCATTAAAACCAACTAGTTAGTGCTCAGCACTACATTTAATATATCATGTTGTTTAGAGTGTAATATAGGTACTTACGTTTAATTATGATATACGATAACCACTTCGTTACTTCAAGCACACTTGTCATGACCGAATCAAATCAAACCATTATTTAGACACACACACACACACACACACACACACACACACACACACACACACACACGCACACGCCATGTACGAAATTTTATCTAAATTTATTGAGTTCGCTTAACGGTTTATCGTCGCCGTAAATCAAACGTGCTACAAGCATATGTTATATGTAACATATAGACGTGTAGATGACTATATCATATTTTAACCTATTAACTTTGTTACTTTTTATTTACTATTATCTTCCGTTATCGTATTATATTTCGTCAATTAATTTAATTGTATGTTCATGCATGTCGCGGCCCGTTGAAATATATAAATAAAGAAAGATACTAGGTAGATATATAGGTGTAAACCACGATTTAAGATAGTATCTATCTATCTTAAATCGTGGTGTAAACACAAATACGTGTGCCATTTTATATACAGTCGTCGTATGGAGAATCGTAGTTTCCCGAGTTAAGCTATCCAGACATTTGTTCACATTACATCACTTGTGCGTTCGAGTTCAAAACGAATTGGATTTTAAACACTATTGCCGAGTCACAATTGCGGTGCAGTGAATGAGTTAATACTTATTACAATGTAATAACGGTGGTGTAAGGAACACATGAATACAGTATTTTTATATGGGTTGTTCCTTGCCCTCATGACAGGTTACATGTATATTAATAAAGCCTTAATCATTATATCAAACAATGGGTATTTTAATTACTTTTAACTATCAACACTCATAATACATATAACTATATTTTAATGTTGACTATGTAAACTATGCCTTTCATATAAACTTGAAAAATACTTCGGTGTGACACATAAAATAGGCAATTGCTCAAAATTTGATTTATATAGTCTTAGTACTTACTATAAAATATAAAGATCAAAACCCTTAAAAAGTCTTCAAAACTGATTGGAAAAATCCCTTATCTGAGGAAAGTAACAATTTTCTGAGGAAAAACTTTCAAAAATCTTCCAACTTTTCAAGCAATGACTCTTAAATGTTCCTCTCAGTCAAAATTTGGACTTAAATGCTTATAAAAAAAAATGTAGCTATGTATCTTTAATGTATTTCAACTGCTATTATAACAACTTATGACGAATCTTGTATTCAATTTTAAAATCTTAAATATAAATAGAGATATTGTCATCGAATTTAACAGAAAATAGACTGAAAGAATTAAAAATGATAAAATAACTATAAATAGACTCTAAAATATAAACTTTTATACGCGCAATGAGTATATCAGATATATTAAGTAAACATTTTAACTGTAATAAACTATTAAACTATATATTTTGTTGTTCCACCTTAATAATATTGTAATAAACCTATACGGATAGAACAAAAAAAATATATACATTTTTAAACATTATTTTTAATTTATGTTTTGGTCAATAATTATCATAAAGATTAAATAAACTATTTTAGAATATGTTTTTGAACCACTGGTGAGACATAATATTAAAAATATACATACATTTCAAAATTGTCAGGTTTAACTGTTGTGTGTTGTATAGGTTACATGAGCTTCAACATATTTTTGAATTTTAGTAAATACTGGTTACTACAAGGTACTTGTAAATTGTAAAAAAACTAATTTGTATACTTGTATACAATAAGTTCGTTAAAAAGTTTTAAAATAAATTAAACGCGTGTGTTGTATGATTAATTACATGACAATAATAATATTATGTAGGTAGGTACTTACTTAGTCAAAATAATAACGTGGAACATTTTTTTATAAAAATAAAATAATATCAAAACATTTTCGTTTAAGCTACACTCATAAATTTACACTGAAATGAAAAATATGTGATTCAAAATATAAAAATGACTCAGATATGAATAAAATACAATATTTTAAAACAAATCGTCGAAAATTGCTTTCGCTTACTTTAAATAAATGTTTTAAACCGCCTCAATATTAGTTTTGAAAACCTGGGTCTAATTTAATATTTCAACATAATATTATCGTTATTGTTTAGTTTGGTGGGTTTAGATTTAGACAACCTACACAATAATATCATACAGAACATTTCAATAACATCAATATGCATTATTTTATTCATGTAAACTAAAATCGTATGTGTATGTGCGGAAAAAACTTCAAAACTAATTTGCCTCACGTACATGTACAAACTACAAGAAACGTAATTGTGCTGTATTATATTGTAATGACGTGTAATCGTTTAAAATATAGACATAGAGGTAATAATTAATGTTAAACACAAGGGATTATGCGGCGACAAAATTATCGTTGTAACAGGTATCTATGTGCGAACAACTAAAACTATCAGGTTTAGTTTTCGTTTCTCCTCCTCGCTTTGTGGAATTATTATATTATATTATACACGTAGCACCTACCGAGGCATTTTACGATGTGGCTCGGTGTTTACACTTTAAATCATGCATAAGTTTAGTTTCGAACACGTCTCGAATCTTTTGGCATTTCACTCGACGAAAAAACTCCTTTTGCTTCTACATAATAACACTTACACAGTTTTTCCATTAAAACGTTCACTGCGCGCAATAGTTTCGGGAGAACAAAAATTCTCTACACCGTTCTATATCTAGGTTGGTATCTATATATTATTCAAGGGCACAAACAGTGCACTAGTATTATAATGGAACGTAGTTACGATTAGGTCAATAATCTATGGACGATTTGTATTTAAAATTTAAATGGATTACAACTGGGTGATACGAATGAAATAAATAATAAACGATTTGGACTGAATAGCAGGTATACACAGAGATATTAGGCATCAACCTAATATATTATACTACGTACACGTTTTTTTATTATTAGGTATATATTTTTTTTATTTCCGTCCTAGAGAAGTACATCGTGGAACGTGGTTTCTTGATTCACATAATATAATATTTAAGCGCTTACACGCGTAGCAGGCAATAATAATAATATAATGTGCAACTAAAATATTACGAGATTCTAGTCGTAAAATAAAATATGTAAGCAAATTCCGCACATTCAATAAATAACACCGAAAATAACGAAAACTTTAAAAGTTGTCAAAAGTGTTATAAATCGTATGATGCTTTTCGACCTTTTAGAAGTATTTCTATAAGTCATTGGGTATGAATTTAAAGTTTTTTCTACCTATCCCAGACATTTTAAGTAAAAAACAAGATCGAAAAAAAAAAATCAAGGATACAGCTCCTTCCACACTGCGGTAACCCACGCATAAGTTCGTAGTCTTACCCGTTTCGCTAGATTAATACACTCACACGCACCTATTATATTGTATAAGGTAAATGACATACTCTATTGTGTATCGACGTGTAATACAAATTGTCTATGTATAATTGCGAAACGCGACTCGTACAATTTTCCGGAGATTTCCACAGAGTTATGTTTTCCGCTGTGGCGTGTCAACCTATATATATTTCTATACAAATAAGGGTGATGCGAGATTGACAAACCTGCAAATACCTACCACCAACCCGGCACGGAAATAATTTCGAAAAACGTTTACGCGTCGTTCATCATCGCGTGCTTCACAAAAGAGGATTCCCGGAAATCGTCGAAAAAAAACATCCGAGCGTTTTCTGGTTGTCACGAAATGGAAAAATCACGTTTTGTTGTCCCGCCGTATATATACCTATGACACACATATATATATATATATAACTTGAAGTTGGGTAAAGCAAGTTTATCCGACGGTTGTTATACACACTGCGCGCGACTGCGTTGTGCCAAACGCTCATGGTCGATAATATAAAAGCAATCGTAGTGCGTGAGGAAACGTCGTTTTTGCCGTATGCATGTATAATAATAAATAATATATATATATATATATATATATATAACAACACACATCAGCTTATATATTACAATATAATATGTATAACGGTTAGATAATGTAGTACAAGAATTTTCGTACATTTTTGAGGCTTATACCAAGAATGTACAACGATTATATTATTATTCCGAAGGCGTGTGCTATTAAAATATTTAAAAAAAAAAAACATCTCACACTTCATAATAAATGATAATTTATTCCACAAGGAAAATAGGTCCATTCGAAGCGTATACACTTAGAAAACTGGAGCGCAATATGGTCCATCTAGTCGGTTTTAAAGCGCTTATTTATTATTAATTTAGTTTACAGGTATATAGGTGTACGCACCTAGATCGGGTGTTTTTCATTTAATTTATGACTATAGTGTTCAACAGTATTCAAATACAATCAATAAGAAACGAAAGCATAACAAAAATATACGATATAGAAAACAATACAAATGTACAAAATAACTAACTAATATAATACTATTACCTACAAACGATTATAAAAAAAATAAATAAATAAAAAGTATAGCTGGAAGTCCTCATGTTAGGCGATTCACAGGCAAGCGATAGAGTCAAGACAATAATCTCAAAAACATTTAATGCTCGCATTACTCATAATTTGTACATCGTTATCTAATATATTATATTATTATAAGACGTGATGTACATTAATATGATGTTCTTTTGATTTGTGTTTCTATAGAAATAAATGAATCTTTACGAAAATCGGTCTCGCAAATATTGGTTGGACGAAGTGGACCTAGTGGTCGAAGTGGCTCAAAATAAGTAGAAGAATGGCTTTCATAATTCATATAGTTCTCCTGTATAGCTTAAAAAGTGGTAGAAAATAAACGGAGGGATGGAAAATGTGAATTATAAAAAGTGGAGAGATGGCATCCCAAAGAGTCCCACCACTTCGATCGCTGTCCAGCCCAAATACATATCTATGTTGACAATGTAAGTGAATTTTTGTGGAACTAACACGTATTTATCCACCATTTCTCGACGATTTCTGGAGTCAGCTTTTTATAAATAAGTACACTCACACTGCAGTCTGCCCGTGTACCTTATTACTGGCGTGTAATATAAGCGTA